CTTGGTGTATTTAGTTTGTACAAAAATTTATGAAAAAGACTACTTGTGTCAACCAATAAACCTTAGCAAGAAATCTAAAAAAGAGACAAGATATAAATTAGACTTTTATAACAAATATATTACACGAAAAAGTGCCGCTATTAAAAAGTTAATATGATCATGAATTTTTTGACTGGTTTAAAAATAAATCTCAGATTAGGATTCTAAGCGACCAAGATATACATATTAATATTTGTCGAGAATGTATGAAGAATTATTAAAATTAAAAATTTTATATGTTTATATTTAGAGAATTATTTTTTATACACCTAATTTATTAACTGTACTCTCCTGCAGATTTATATTTTTTTAAAGCTTTGAGCGAAGATATCATAACAACCAACAAGCCAAATATTTTTTCCTTGCATTCTACAGATTCGTAGAATTCAAATAAAAAAAAATTCATCGAATTTGGCCTATTAGTTGCTAAAATATCATTGCTCAAAGTTTGAAAAAAATCAAAACGTCTATCAAAACAAACAATACAAATTTTTTTAAACTTTGAGTGAAGATATCTCAGTAACCACTAGGCCAAATTCGATGAATTTTTTTATTTGAATTTTACGAATTTGTAAAATGTAAAGAAAAAAAATTCACTTGGTGGTTGTCATGATATCTTCGCTCAAAGTTTTAAAAAAAGCCAAAACGTATATCAAAACAAAAGCTGTATCAAAATTTTCTCAAAGTTTAAGCGAGGATATCTTGACAATCACTAAGCCAATTTTGATGAAATTTTTTTTATTTAAATTCTACAAAGCTGTAGAATGCAAAGAAAAAAAATTTGTTGAAATTGACTTAGTGTTGTCGAGATATCTTCATTCAAAGTTTTAAAAAAAACCTCAAATGTATATCAAAACAAAAGCTGCACCAAACATTTTCTCAAACTTTGCACGATGATATCTCAACAACCACCAAGCCAAATTCAATGAATTTTTTTTATTTGTATTCTACAGATTCGTAGAATTCAATTAAAAAAAATTCATCGAAATTGGCTTGGTGGTTGTTGAGATATCCTTGCCCAAACTTTGAGAAAATTTTGGTGCAGCTTCTGTTTTAATATACGTTTTGAGTTTTTTTAAAACTTTGAGCAAAGATATCACGACAACCACCAAGCCAATTTCAATGAATCTTTTTTTCTTTGCATTCTACAGATTCGTAGAATTCAAATAAAAAAAAATACATCGAATTTGGCCCAGTATTTGCAGAGATATCTTCACTCAAAGTTTAAAAAAATTATATTGTTTGTTTTGATAGACGTTTTGATTTTTTTCAAACTTTGAGCAATGATATTTCAGCAACTAATTGGCCAAATTCGATGAATTTTTTTTTATTTGAATTCTACGAATCTGTAGAATATAAAGCAAAAAAGATTCGTCAAAATTGGCTTGGTGGTTATTGTGATATCTTTACTCAAAGTTTTAAAAAAATGTAAATCTGCAGGGGATATGGTTAATAAATTGGGTTTGGGTCAAAATCTCAACAAACAAAATCCCGACAGGTCATAATCCCGACAAAAAAATCCTGACAATCAAAAATCTCGACAAATCCTGACAATCAAAAAAAGTGTTCGTTGAGCAATTTTACTATATAAAATTACCTATACTCTAATTCTAACCTAGGTACATACGACATTTTATATATAAATAAAATTCAGTAATAGTCTAATTTAATTCTTGAATATTGATGTTTAAAAATATTAGTTCATTATTTCAAATATTTTTAATTTTTTCAAACATTTTTAATATAATTCGAATTATTTCGAATTATTTAGCTCGTATAGTGCATAGTAATTTATTTCTATCTGTTTCATTTTTGAATTTTGTCATTTACAATTATAGCACTTTAATTTCAAATATTTTTAATATTTTTAAATATTTTTAGTATAATTCGAATTATTTCGAATTATTTTGCACTTATAGTTCATAGTAATTTATCTAAATCTGTTTCATTCTTCAATATCATGTTTAAAAATTTTAGTTCTTTAACTTTAAATTTTTTTAATTTATTCAAACAAATTTAATACAATTCAAATTATTTCAAATTATTTTGTGCTAATAGTTCATAGTAATTTATCTGAATCTGTTTTATTTTTGAATTTTGTGTTTAAAAATTTTAGCTCTTTAATTTAAATTATTTTTAATTTTTTCTAACATTTTTTATATAATTTGAATTATTTTAAATTATTTTGTGCTTAATTGTTCACATTAATTTATCTCAATCTGTTTTGAATTATTTCAAATTATATTGCATAAAATTTTGTTATTTCTTGCGTAATATTGCGTAATTATCTTACGTAATATTTCATAATTATATATTTCGCAATATTGCGAAAGTTATTACATAATATTATAGTTTTCTTACACTTTGTAAATTATTGCACAATATTATGCCCTATTAAATTTGCTGATGTAGAAAAAGTTACTGAATATACAGATAAAAATATATATAGGATACATACTACTCTGTTAGATTTATCTCATAAATAGACTAGCTTAAGTTAGTAAATCCTAAAGCTGGGTATGAAATCTATAGATGTTACAAAATTTTATATATAAATAAATGAGTTACACCTTAGTTAGGTGTATATACAATAGCAGTTGTAACCAGAAGGTTTAAATAGACACCTTCATAGTTAAGGTGTAGGTATAGCAGATAGTGTAGAACATTTGGGTAGACTACTTAAATTAAATATCAAAAGTGCTTGCTATTACTTAATAAAAAATCACATTGGCTATAGAGATCACCTTAATACCAAAAAAATAAAAAATAAAAAGTAGGTAATGTAATATTAAACCAATTAACTGTAGTGATTATGATATGCTCTAACTACAAGTAATAGTTTGCTCTATTGTATAGATTATAGGTAATTAGTTGGAAAATATTAAATTTCTATTTACTGTATTTGCTCATAATAACGTGCAGGGGTGTAGTTTTGAATTTCGGCCTAAATTAAGCTTAACTCGGGCTGTGTCTCAAAATAACACTCCTGTGAGTTATTATGGTACTTAATATTGTTATAAATTAAAATGTACTACTTTACTTCTATACTTGACATTTATAAAAATAAAATAAAATAAATTTTTATTTTTAGGGGATTGATACATATACCGTTATCTTTGTTATTCGTACCCTAAACTTAATCATCGAATCGAATGATATCGGAGCTCCAAAATTCAAACCCCACTTTTTTGATTAGTAATAATGCTTACTAATCAAAATGGTATTTGAATTTTGGAGCTCCGACATTATACGATGCGATGATTAAGTTTAGAACAAAAATAACGGTATGAATATTAGTTTCCTATATATATATAATTTTATAAAATTTTCGATTAAAACTCAATTATTATAAAACACACCTATGGTGTTTTACACCTATTATATATTTTTCTAAGTTTTTATAATTTTTGTATATAAATTTTCAATACAAATTTTTTCACGTTAGGGTTAGAGTTAGAGTTTGGGAAGGGTTTTCTAGGGCATAGTCCATGCTGATTAATTAGCCAGTTTTTGAGAAAACATATACATAGGTGTAAAACACCATAAGTGCGTTTTAGTAAACTCCTTAAAATTAAATTATTGAAATATTATAATTTTATTTATATTTCTTTCTAATCTTAGAGGAAGTGTCAATTTAAATAAACATTATATTACATTGCAAAAAGAATTATTGTTACGTGTAAAAACTAAATATTATAAAGATATTCTAATTGGCTATTTAATTTTAGAGAAAACTTAAAAATAGAGAGGAAAAAACATTATATGAAAATGTAATTTCAAACCACCTAAAGCTTAAACATGCTTGAACATCGCCTTTGGATATATGATATATACTATTTGGCATTATATACAGTACTCAAGATCTTTTTAAAGAATTCATTTTTAAAATTGAATAGTACTGGGTACTATTCACAAATCCAGTAATTTCATAAAGAATTCATTTTTAAAATTGAATAGTACTGGGTACTATTCACAAATCCAGTAATTTCATAGTGAAGAAGAGGGTACTTTATATAATAGGATATTATTTTCGAGGGATACATATTATACTAGGGTGTCCAGGGTTTTGCAGTGGCAAAATTTGCTCAAAAATTCTGTGCGCAGAATAATAAATTATTGGCAGATGCAGTCCATTGTAATAAAAATTTTTTTTGATTCTTTTTATGCTTTTGGTTTTAGGCATTATTTATACATCACTGCAGTATTTGCAAGTTTAACAGTAATTGCAACAGAATTTTTAAGTTAGAACAGCAGTACTCTAGACACTCTACAATATACAGTAATATGGTAATACTGCATATCAAAAAACCAGAACCGGGTAATGGCATTATCCAGATCCTCCTTTTGTGCAAGGACTTGATGTTTCAAATCCTTCCAGAAATCAATACCCTAACTTAGCCCTTGCGAAACTACTCGCAGGCAGCCCTGCACCTTGCGGAGGTTTGGAACAACTAGGGATGGGCTCGGTTAGGTTATAGTCGGCATATTAGTCGACTAGCTGACCGGCTAGTCGATGCCAAAATTTTTATTTCCTGGTTAATAAATCATAATTATTGCTTAATTCAGTATGAAGTGCACATTACAGAATTATTGCAAGAAGTACCTGTCACGTAACGACAATCAAAAATTAATTCCGGCCAAAAATTACGTAACAACTGTACAATGCGGCCAAAATTTGTAAATCGCAGCAGGAGAATCTGCTGTGGTACGACAGCTAAGGTATTTTTATTGCAGGATAGTAAAAAGGCAGGCATATTTTGTATACAAATCACTTTCAAAAGTTTATTTTATTTTATTTTATGCTTTTTATCTAACAATCAAGCAATTTTTTTTGATGATTTACAATAATCGAATTTCTTACAGAAATCACGTACAAATCGTGATAAATTCTAAATCGAATGAAAATTTTTTATTTTAATTTCATAAGGTTCAAAACTTCGATATTGGTATTTGAGAAAGTAATGTCTGGCAATAAAAACAGCATTCATGCCATAGCCACTCATGAGGGTTTTTCGGACTTCTTCTCGGTCGAGAGTAGCAGGAGTTATAGAATTAAAATAAAAAAATATCAAAATTAGATAGGTAGTTGTTGAGAAATTTTTACTAAAAAATTTAGAAAAAATTAGCCGCAGCTTTCTTTTATAAGTGTCTAAACTTTGAATAAAGATTATTTGGCGCTCACCTGATCAAATTTGCTAAAATTAAAATAAAAAAATTGATCAAATTTGGTCAGTGAGTGAATGATCGTTCAAAGTTTAGATACTCATAAATATAAGTGCGCGGCTTATCCTTACTAAAACTTTTAGTAAAAATTTTTCTACAACCGTCAATAAATTTTTTTTATTTATTTAATTCCATAAATTTACAGAACTAAAATAAAAAAAAATTATTGAATCTGAATCAATGGTTGTTGAGAATTTTTTAAAAAAGAAATTTTACTCCGATTTTGTTTTAAAAATTCGAATGTTTTTAAACCTTTAGTGAAGATTCCTCATAAACCAACTATCCAATTTCGATAAAATTTTTATTTTATTTTAATTCTACAAAAGTGTAGAATCAAAATAAAAATTTTATTGAGTTTAATTATTGCGCTTTGCAAAAAAGTGTGACCCTGTGATTTCACGGTGATGACGGCGGAAAAATTTCTGAGATTTTAATTCCCTATTGATCATAATTTTCAATCAATAAAGTCTATATTTTATCCAAAATCTTTAAAATTCTCCAAAATTCGAAAAATCCACTAGAATCGGATGATTTCTCGTGATTTTACATGACATCATGAGGTCACACATTTTTGCAAAGCGCAATAAGTAGTTAAGTAGTTACTGAGGAATATTCGCTAGAATCTTGAAAAAATTTTAAAAATTTTAAAAGGATCAATATTTTGATTATTTGATTGGTTGGTTATAGCATGTGAACAGAACTTTTTTCACCATGATATCGATATTGTATAACACAAAAATATAAATATTTGTCGCTCGATTAAAGAATTGATTAAGTAATTGATCGCTATTAACCGATAACCGACCGTAGCTGACCCTAGTTACAACTACATAGTATTCATGCTATAAAAAAAAACCTGGAAACTATAATTTAGATTATAAAAATTATGAAATACAGTATGATTGTTAGAAAACTAACAGATAAATAATTAATCAATAGAGTATAATCTGATAAAATGGAAAAATTAATTCTATTTCAGGAATTGAATAATAAATTTAAAAAGAATAATGCAACTTGAGAAATAATCGGAACAAATAACTTATTAATCAGTAAAATACTATTTTGATGAAATAGAACTAAAACCGAGAAAATTAATACCGATACTATTTACAAAAAATGAATGTAATAAATTTCAAGATAAATATGAAATAATAACAATTTGAGAAAAATTTGAGAAATAATCCGAACAAAAAAAAGACAAGCAAAGAAAAATAGAAATATCGACATTATTGTAATACAAATATTTAGTCATCATCAATAAAGAAGATAGACTATTCAGGTCACACCTTTAACATTAAATAAAAAAAGAAGATAGCTATTCGTAGTATTACAATTAGGTCATACAGACTAGGGCTGTTAAGTGGTCCGACTCAAACCGATTGACCGGGTCCTGTCTTTTTTGGGACGGACCGTTGGTCCTAACATTGTTATAGATAATGTACGTACGTACATTAAAATATCTAATTATAGTCGTGAGAAAACTTTTTATGAAGTCATATGCTAAGCAGTGAATACTTAATTACATGTTTGGTGCTTACATATAACTGTTCTGAATTTGGAAAACTAAATTTCTTTAGCGTAAATCAGGTGCGTGCATAATTAAACCAACATGTATAGAATACTCCAACCTCATATAGTGATTTTTCAATCATGATACTAAGTTAGTTGGATGTTTAATTAACCAAAAAAAAATAAAAGTCTTAAACTAAATCGTTACGATACAGTATTAATATGTTCTTGTTATTTGAGAGAAGCTACTCATTACTATCATATATTACGTGTACTCTATTAGAGGTTTAAACAATGACAAAATTTAAAAATTTTAAATACTGTTAATCTCTATTTATTATAATAACTGGTTTTTTTAACAAGAGTTAGATATACAAATTTGATATATTTAATTAGAATTATTGTCTAGATATACAGTACTTATAGTACAAGTTCATTAAAAATATACCTACAAAAATTATGTACATGATTCTCAAAAGTCATGCGTATTTCATCACTAATAATAATAGACAGGTAGCTTTTATTTAAAAAACTAATAATTTGAATGGAGTTTATAATAATAACAGGTAATAATACAATACGTTGATGCAACTTATGTAGCATTTAATTGGTCTGATAATCGGTCCATCCAGTCTCATACTGATCAGTCCTGGACCGCAGTTCGGTCCAACTTTTTAAAAGACCGTCGGTCTTTGAACCAAGACGGACCGGACGGATCGATTAACAGCCCTAATACAGACTACGGATGCTAACAGCTTGATCCATCTTGTATATTTATTATTATAAAACCGATCAATCAATAGAGTCGATTGAGTCGTCAGCATTGTAATGCAGACTACCAATGTATTGTAATATAAAGTCGACAATTTATGTTTGAAAGGTTGCACAAAGGAATTCCAAAATTGAAATACGATATATGTACAAATAAACAGAACTACTCTGGCAATACAAACAAAATGCTCAAATTGACAGTAGACACTTTTTTACAATCCATTTATAAAACCATACCGATATGAATTCAGTAAAGGGAAGCCTGTAAGTATATCTAAACAGATATGAATGACATAATTGAAGCAGTATTCTAATTGTCTTGCATTGTATTCGTGCGCCCATTTATCTGAAAAATCCATTTGACCCCTTACAATACGGACATTCAATTTTCTTGGTGAATTTGGCGCAGGTCAGAGATTATTTTCAATAATCCAAACTGAGATACATATTAAGTAAAGCCTTTAATTCGGCTCATTAATATTCTTACATTGAGTTAAATCATACGGCTTAATTGTTACGATAGGAGCACTCTTAGAAGCTAAAAGGTTGTTGAAAATACCGTACTGTACATTCTCTTCATTTATATTTTTATATAATCATTTTAATTATTTTTTCTCACACTATGGCCATTTTAAAACTCTGTTTATTTACTGTTTATTGTGCGATGATTAAAATTATGTCATACAATGTTGCATCGTTTTTTTCGATTAAAGAACTTCGAATCGAGATACTAGCCTAGCCATAAATAAATTAGCTTATATCAATTTACCGGCTAATCTATTATTAGTAAATTCTCAGACACCAAATTCCATAAATGTATTACTCCGATTGGAAATTTCCGAGTACTATATACATATAAGGGAGCAAAATAAACGCCCGTTATTTATTTTCACCTTTTTATTATACTGTGGCTTACAGCGTAATACAAAGTTTTCAATAATACTATTTGACTAAAAATCTTTTTTATTTTTATTTATTTTATTTGCTATAATGGTTAATAATAATACATATAGTTTTCCAGCAGTTTTGCAAGAATACAAAATAAATATATATATATATATATAATTTTAATATAGGATGTACAAGAATTTTAGAACGGTCTCGAGTTTCCCGGATCTTAATTCCGGAAATCCTTTATCATGACCGGGTTCAAATCTCCAGCTAACCAAAAGTTAAGACGGAATAAAAACCAAAAGCTTTATGTTACGTGAAACAATCATTTCGTGAGGTCTTACGTAACCAATATACTGCTTCTATATAAATACGGAAGATTTCGATATGAACATATCAGTTCGATACTCTTCTTTTTTTAGCAAAGCTCTATATTATTAGATGTATTCAAATGCTAAGGAAGGTAGGCTTCTTTGTAAATATGTATACTGTTAGCCCTATCAAAACTAGTATGCGTGAAAGACCGATTTATTATTAGTTTTAAAAATTATTTTTTCTGAAAGAAGCATATTACTAAAAGCACGTTCGAGATCTGCGCCGTCATTAAATCGAAAGAGCGTAAACGATATTTAAAAATATGTTATAGCTAAAAACTTCATAATTTTATTTAGATGTTAACTGTACGTAGTGCAGATTTGCAGTTAACAAAATTCTTTATTGTGTTAGGTTAGCGTTCATATTAGGGTTAGATTTTAACAAGTTATACGTATACGTAGTAAATTCGCTCTGATCATTTACCTAGTTTAGAACATCTACGCCACATAGACTGATCTTGTGACCTTGGATAATAAGCTTATTAAATATTATAAATTCAGTGGTCATCTTTCTACGTATCAGTTCAGTTTTGATAGGAATTATACTAGTTATATATATATATTTTAAAAAAACATATGGGTGCATAAATTATTAGATCCAAAAACTAATACAGAAGAGATTTAAAAAGCATCCCGATGAGTGTAATGTTGGAGCTCTAGAAAAGAGAGATTGTGAGTTAATATTATTTATAAATGCATAATACCTATATCGTGAATATTTAGTGAATATTTACGGAATATTAGCATTAAGTTATCGCGAGTGGTTAGAAAAGGAATTCGAAGGAGGGAATATCAAAAATTATGATTATTCTAAATTTTGTGATTTCATTGAACTTGGCAGAGGTAACATAACTATTTTTTTTTTTTTTTTAGAAATTATCTATAAATTCTGATTATTTTTACTTTACTAAAGGTAGCTACAGCATTGTTTATTCTGCTGATTACCGTGGAAAAAAGATTGCATGCAAAAAATCTGAGGTGATATATTAATCATTATTAGTATCCTATTCCACTAATTCTTCATAGCTGATATTTTATATAAAATATATAGTTCAAACAGCACAATGAAAATAATCATGAAAACATAGTTAAATTCTTAGGAAGTACAGCATGTAAGATATATTAATATAGTTTTATTCCACGTTTATATATGATCTCATGACGAAATTTAACTATTTTAATCAGTGGAAAAACAATTTTCCAGCAGTGCTTTCATTATTTCCCAATAAACTGACGAAATAAATACATTCTTGGAAATTGTTTTTTCACCTATTAAAGTAGTGATTGTAAGTAGAGCTTGGAACCGATTTTATTTTTCATATGCTAAACCCGATTAAAACCGGTTTTAACATATGAAAAATAAACCGATTCCAAACTCTAATTGTAAGTTGTTAAACCTGTTGCACGATCATATAAAACGAAGAGTATCACTTTATTTCCTACTACTGGCAAATAATCTGGAAGATCTCCGATCATGTAATGTCTTCAGGTTCTCACATAGTCGGAGTTATTCCAAATGTTGTGGGAATAAATAGTACTTATCATATCTATCATTAAATATTACTATTTATAATAAAATAATGATAATAGATATAGTGACATTATAAAAAAGATTTTGTTTTTATGTTGTTTATGCTATATTTTTTAAATTAACCCGTATTTAAACTATAAATAATTATTAGGTTCAGACGATTATATATTACAGTTTGCAAATGGTGGCAATTTGAAAGACTATTTGCAAAGCAAAACGCATGAAGGCATTTTTAAAATCATGTGGACCGAACTTATTCAGATTGCAGAAAAAATTATTGTCGGGATGCAATATTTGCATGCTAATAAAATTATCCATAGAAATCTGGTAAGTATTAATTTTATCTCTGACTAATCTTAAACTGATTATTAATATAGTTATAATTTTCAGAATCCTAAAAATATTTTGATAAATGACCATAAAATCTTGATTTCTGGTTTTGGATCAGCATGGAAATTTGATGAAAGTTTGTTAACATTTCCTGAAAGATTAACATTCGAATATTTTGACCCTCAAATTTTTATCCAAGATCAATTCATCCCAAACATTAAATCGGATGTATATAGCTTAGGAGTAATATTATGGGAACTTACAAGCGGAATTCGTCCTTTTTCAAAGTTTCCAAATAAGCTTTCCTTAATCCATAATATTCCAAAAGGCAAACGAGAAAAAACAGTTCCTGGCACTCCTTCAATTTATGCAAATCTTTATAAGAAATGTTGGAGTACTAATCCGAAAAAACGTCCGGAACTAAAAGAAATTTCGCGTAAAATTGAACAATCTAGAGAAGCAGCTAAAATAATTAAGAATCGTATATCTTAAGATTATCGTATCGCATGAAATCTGAATGAAACAATTAAAAATCGTGTACCGTAGAATAGTTTATCTTAACTGGTAAATCGTAATAATTAAAATCGTGTATTTTTGCCGGCAAATCTAGATGAAAAAATCGAACAATCTAGAGAAGCGGCTAAAATAATCAGATAAGACAAACTTATTCAATTACAAATGATGAAAATTATGCAAAGAATAATTTAAATATATTATTTAATAAAAAATATAAGATTTAAGCTTATTATTTATTTAATAAAATCAACCAATTTTTTTTTAAGTTAATTTATTTTTCGATTTCTACCAATAAATAGTTAATGCCAAGAAATATTCTTAAAACAAAGTAATGTTCTATTGGCCACTGCTTAAAGTATCGGGGTCTTATTCAATCATTCCATTTTAAAATTGAATAATACCCGCAAGTACCGTGTGAATAATGAGGCCCTAATTTCCCCACTAGTTATGATTGGGATGAATGTAATACTGCTTCTAATTGGATAAATTAGATCATGCCAACTTAAGTTCTTAAAAAAAAAAATTTTCAAAATGTTTCTATTTGTTCTGTTTGCAAAAAGAGGTGGAAGTATTTATTTATGCACTTTCAGAATTTTTTTTGCTTATGAAAATAAATTGAAAATAATCGAAAACATTAAGTGCCAAGAAATTTATTTTTTTGCTAGTAAAAATAATAATCGAAAATAATCGAAAGCATTAACTAAATAAGTTCTTCAACATAACCAAGAAAATTTTTATCTTTTTGCTAGTAAATATAATTTGAAAATAATTGAAATCATCAATGAAAATAAGTGCTTCGACACAACCAATAAATTTTTTATAAAGTTTTTGTCTTATACATTATTTTCAAAAATAAAATTTATTGAAAGACCTATGTTTACAAACTTTCTTGTAATTTATAATATACCCAACTAGTGTATAAAACCTCACCCCAAAAACATGTGAATAGTGTGCACAATGCACTCTTAATTTGTGAGTAATTTTAAAATTAGTACACTATAAATTTTTATAGAGAATTATTATTTGCACACTAGTGTGTACACACAGGGTATTGTTATTACTCGAAATTTAGCTCATAAAATTACTTTGGGGTTCTAACAAAAAATAATCTACGCAAAATTTTAGTATAAATACTCTCTAACCCTAATCTCTAATCCTAACCCTAACCAATTTCAAACCATTAAAGATTTTTAGAGTTGGATAGCTTCTTTACTATATTTTATTCAAAGTTTGCTAAGATAGCAATACAATAAAATTTTCAAAATTAATATGCTATTTTTTTAAAATAAATAAATATATAGTAAAAGCTCTATAAATGCTACTTTATAAATACACATCCTCTCTAAATGCATACTCAACCTCTAGCCCAAATATATGCAAGGTCTCTATAAATACACCTTTTCTTATTCTCTAAGTGCATGTTGTTAAAGTTTAGTCCCAAAAGCTGCATTTATAGAGGTTTTTTTTTTTTTTTTTTTTTTTGTGAGGTTTTTTCCTCAGTTCCTTTATTATTCATTATGTAGGGGTTACAATGTAAGTTTATATAAATTTTTGGGGAAGTGGGGATAGAGCTACTTTACTCTAGACCTTAACCTTAGCTAGGCAGGTCAAAGACCTCTAGACTATGAAGTAAGAATATCGTGAGAAGAAGTGTTAGAACTAATGTATTTATTTATCCATGAGTATAATTTGCTTCTTGTTAATCGGTCTGAGGATACCAAGTAAGATGGTAAGGTTATTGGATTATTATTTAATGTTTGTGCTAGTAAGGTTATTGGATTATTATTTGATGTTTGTGCTGAATTATTATTTGATACCGTTATTCTGCTTGGAATCCAGATTTGTTTGTGTATTTCTTTTAGTATATTATGATGTAATTCGGGAGCTAGACTTATAGCTGTTTTCTTATTGCGAGTAGGTACAACAGTCTCTTCTGTGATAATGCCAATAGGAGTCTGATTCTGAATATGGGTTTGGGTAAATTTTGAATAAAATTATCAGTATGAACAAGATATAAGTTGTGCTTTGAGGCTAATTGTGTGAGTGTATTGTTAATAAGTATATAAAGGGAGATACTGTTAGTGCTGCAGGTTAACCAGTGTGTGTCAGTTTCGATCTCGTTACTGCAACATTTGCAGTAAGGCGATGTGTGGATGTTTGGATGGCGTTTAAATAGATTAAGTTGATTTGGGAGTTCATTCATTAGAATTTTGAATTTGAAGTTTTTTAGTCAGGATATTTTTGGGTCAGTTTGGCGTTGGCGTGGTTTGTCATCAAACCTCAAATATTGGAAGATTGGTTGCCATTTTGGATTATGAGTAAGTTGAAGCCAATGTTGAATGCGGTTTTGCATATACTAGGTATCGATATTGATTGCTGTATGTAGGTGTTTGATAGTAGTTTTTATATTTTCGGACGTGAGATTATTTTTGAATTTTAGAAAATAAGTATTATTAATAAGTGGTGATGGGTCAATCTCTATTTGTCGGATTGGGTCCTGAGGTTGTATTGTGCCAAGCTGTTGGGTATAGTTTGTATTAATTGAGAGGTTTTTTGCAAGAATTGCAGCTCTCAGGACTATTGTATAATCTATGTTGTCACTTTTATGTATATAAAAGGGTGCTGTTGGTGACGTATCTATGATTGTTGGTATGAGTTTTAGTATAGCTTTTGAGTTGGTCTTGAGTTGGATATGTGCATCATTAGGAATGATAGTAATTAGTGTGTATAATGCGGAAATAGCGATTTTGGTCAGACTAGGCCAGTTGTTGTTTTGCATAATGATTCTGGTGTAGTAATTAGTGAAGGTAATTAGTGCTGTGGGTCTGGCTGGGATACTTTTGCTAATTCTAATTGTGATTTGTGTATTGATGTTTTTGAGGTTGGGAAGGTTAAGAAAGTGTTCCAGATGTATTCAGCTTGGTTGAGGTAAGTTTGAGCCATGTTGTATGAGTAGATGTGATTGTGTGGTATATAGCGGAAGGGTGAGATAGTTTTTTGGAATTTAGGTAGTAAGTTAGATAACTGTGTAAGGTTTCCATGCCATATATGTTTGGATAATACTTGAATTTGGTAAGTATTTAGCTTAGGTGCCCAGAAGGAGCAATGGGTATTGTTAGTTGTATAGTCATGGATAGAGCAACAGTTGAAGGTATCTTAGACCCAATATTGTATTTTGAATAGGTTGTGACAAGAAGAGGTGATTTTTCCGAAAGTGTGATGTGATGTGATAATCCATTTTGTTAGATTAGTTGACTGGGTCCATGTGAAAGGGTTGGGGTGGATAAGTGTAAAAGCAGGTGATGCAACTTCACTAATTGTATTTTTTATCGTAGTGAACCATTTAGGTGTATGTCCTCGTGGTATTTTTTGAATATTATGGTGGAAGCTTTTCCAATCCAGTGTTTCGGTATTGTTGTAATTGGTGAATTGTTCAAT